TCCGGCTACGTGTTCCTCCAGCACGGGATCGCCTCGGCACGAGCTGGGGCTGGGGCTGGGGGGTGGGGTACGCCCGCTGGTACGCCCGCTGCTGCGGTAGGCATAAGTCGCCGATACGCTCCCCGAAGCTACCTTCCTTGCCGTACCGTACCGTACCTTACCTCGCCTTACCTACCTGCCTACCTTACCTTGACGTACCTACCTAGGTAGCTACCTACTCCACCCCCGGTCGAGCCCAATTTGCCCAGGCGCAGATAGCGTGACCTAGGTATGTTTAGACCGGGCTCCTACAGTAGCGGGCGGCCCTCACGTGGCGGGTCCGCGCGCGCGCGGCAGTCGTCGGCTTTGGGGGCTCGCGTTCCACGGGCTCGGGGGCATTATGCCTAGGTAGCTAGGTAGTTCGCTGGACCGCGTAGGAATATCTATCTAATCCCTCGGTGTCTGCCTGCCTCCGGCCGGGGAGAGGAGGGGCGTCGGCGTATCGAGGCCCACCGCAGTGAGAGTAGGTAAGTAGGTAGGGGGACGCGGGGCGGGCTCCGGTCCCACGGGTCCTCCACTCTTGTTTCTCCAAGAGGCTTTTAGCTTATATGCGGGCGTGTCCAAAACCGCAAAAGGGGCCCCCATACGTACATGGAATTATAGGCTATTCGAAGGGACACGAGAGAGAGAGAGAGAGAGAGAGAGCCTGAGGGGACGTCGTCTTTACGTAAGTGGTCAATTGTTAACAACGAAAGTCTGGGGTAAGATCTAGACCCCCCCCCCTCTCTCTCTATCTTCCTACATACATAGATGCCGAGCCAAGATACGAAGCCCGTCTTATGCTCGTAATAGCAGCTAGCAAGCAAGCACAGCGATCTCCACGATCTAGTGACCTATGATGCTACGTCGACATTTTCGAGGCGTCCAACTAGGCGTCTCTGCCTGGTGGACCTGAGCAATGCAGGAAAGGGGTTCTAGTTCTATGGGAAAGTGACAATACATACATACCTACCTAGGTATCTTCAAGTACAGTACTGCTCGCCGCAGAACGACCGCTGATTCCGAGTCTCTCGTTTGAATTGCTGTGCTGTTTATTGCCAAGTAGCTAGCTAGCTACTTAACCACCCATCTAACCCTCAACTACGTCACTCCACGAGGATATATCCCACCCCATGCTCGTGTGCTCGTGTGCTCGTGCCTACACTAAGCTCGTCGTCCCGGCCCGCACCCACACATGCAGAGCGGAGGATCCTCCGTTTCCCTATCATTGGTGTTCCCGGAGCGGTGAACGAACTCGCAGCTTTCCCCCCACCTAATTTTCCGCTGCGAAAGGCCCTATTTAGCACTGTCGACGGATCTACCGTCGGCGAAATCAGGTAGGAATCCAGGCGATCCTCCACGGCTTGTCTCCACGGTTCGTGGAGTCGACGCAAGAGCGCATCATGCCGCCCTTGCCGCTAAAGAAGGGGTAGTGCCGCGCGTTATCTTGTAGTATGTAAGCACGTAGTCATGTAGGTGCGGACGTGCGTTTGTATGTGTAGGTAGTTGGGCAGTTTAGGCAGGCTGTTTGGCCCCCCCCTCCCCTGGTTTATGGCTCCCCCGGAACCAGAGTTGGGCTATCGGCGGAATTTAAGAGCCTAGAGAAGTTAGGAGCTCCGACAAGATAGCTGGCGACATTTACTGTACGTAGGAGTAATATCGCAATCCCGAGGACACGGAGTCGTTGCTATCGGTAGCGAAGCATGAGAGTGTGTGGCGTTATACGTACATGATGCATAACACGATCGAGGCAACTCCGAAGAAGCGGGACGGCAGGAATCCTGCATGGATTTCACCGTATTATACCGTACCTTGTAGCTGGTACTTGCAACCTGTGCGCTGAATCGTCTGCGTTCACTTTGCTGTACAAACTCCTGGGAACCCACCTTGCGTCCTCGATTGGGTCTCTGGCATATTCAAGTACCGTAGGTAGACGTTAGATGCCCCGGTCTGAGGATTGGATATTGCTAGGTATTGCTGCAGAGCGCAGGATATAGATTCCATTAGAGGATAAACAGAAATCCGAGAAGGAATAAAAACGCCGACGCGAAGCGATGCGAAACGGAATGGAACGGAACGGAATCAGGGGAAGCAGGCAACATGGATTGACCACACCTAGGGGGCTACCTATTTCGTATGTTCCCCCATCCCGCGCCCAGAGCAAAAGCCTCATACGTACCTATAACGTACGTGATTACCTATAACGTAAGTGGTGGTACAGCGTACGGCTGATCGATGCTGCAGGTCCTTTTCTGACAGCCAAAATAGGCTGCCAGCTAGCCATGCCATGCGATAGCGTGAGCCATCTTGCTCCCCCATGTGCTAGCGCCGATGGTGCTCATCCATGATCCATCTACTGTACCCCCGCGTCCCGGCGCTCACGTCACGTCACGTCACGGCCAGGGTTCGAGGTGAACAGGAAGGTGAGAAGGGATAGGTACTCGGGAACGAGCTGCAGGACCCGACAGCATGGTAAGGCTGTCGGCGAGGATTTGACAGGCTTGGGACCGCAAATCATTGGACGCCTGGAATATGCGGTTCGTAAGCGGCTCGTCATCACGCACTGCATGCGTACCTAGCCCTGCCCTATTCTCTCCAGTGGGATGGAACACGGGGGGGGGAGGGGGAGAGACGAGGGGTGTGTCAGGGAAGTGCGTCCCGTCAGCCCGCATCGTCTACCAATAAGGCAGGGGAGTCAGGCTCGTTTGGGTAAGAAGGAATGTGATGAAAGCGCAGCCTCGTGCATTGCATGAAGCAAGCCGCAGCAACAATAATAGGCACGCTGTACATGGCTGTACGTGATAGCCACAGGGGCTTGTTGTTGCAGGGGATTTTTGTTGCAGCTGAGTGTGGTACTTCTCCGTATCTCTTTTGCCCTCCTTGCCTCGCTTCCAAGGACATGGGATTCTTGTTGGCAGCAGCTGCTGAGGGCTGAGAGACGCGTTTTGTTCCCCCCCCCCCCCTGTTCTCCCGTTTTCCCGTTTTCCCTTTCGTTACCACCCACACCTGCTGCTGCGTTGGGTATTATAATACGACGTAGGTAGTTCGTCTAAGACGGGTATTACCTGGGTATGTAGGTTTCTATCGTTGGGGTTATTGCACATGCTACTACATGTGCGTATACGTATGTGTATACATATCTAAGCCATGTAGTCCGCCTCATCCGCCTCTTGCACATAGTACCCTTATATGGGCGAGGGAATTGGTGAGTAAGCCAAGTTTCCGGAGCTAACTCTCTTCGAAGCTTCCAAGCGTCAGCAACTGGAAGGCTGGGCTGACGGTGGCTTACCGTATCCAGGAAATCTGCCCGGTAATAACACAGCTACCTGGTAGTTCGCGCCCCAGCTGCGACAGGCCAGCACTTCATGCATTTACGTTGGAAGCAGCTAGAGTAGCATCTATCCTCTGGGTCTGTCCTCTGGGTAACCCTTTCGACTTCAACCATGGACCCATCATAGGTACGGTAAACTGCCGCGAGTAACTCCAAGATTAATATCCCGCAGTTCCGGCGGCCTGCCTAGTACGGTAGTCACATATGCTACCTAGACGTCAGATCAGATCATGTTCGGGGCTGCTAGATTGGGCGACCCACGGGACTGGACGTGTCGTGCGAGGACATTGGGCTGTATGAACTGTATGGGACAGTATGAGCTGTATGTCAGACCCAAGGGGGGGGGGCTTGCATTGCATACAATGCATTAATATGCATAGGTACTGTACACGTACACTATTCCACATATTCCCAGGTCCCGAGGACAGGGTTCGCCCGAAACGGTAAAACAAGACCCAATCGAGGCTGAACAAGGTATGGGAACCCAATAAACCCAATAAACCAAATATACCTCCGTAGAGTTACATTATTTCCGAGACCCAACCCAACCGAGTCCACCGTCTGGGCAAGCTATGGGCATCCTATGGGCAAGGTATGCTTACGCGCCATGGCCCATAGCGGACGAACTCCTACCGCCTTTGGCAATCCGTTACATTAAAAGGTAAGCAGCCACTTCAAAGCCTCTGTACAGTCTATCGATTCTAGCTCCTAGTCAGCAGTTTGTTAGCAGTAATTACTAACACGTTAATGGACGGCCATCATTATGATAGTCTACTATCACAAATGATAAAGTATAGAAATATGAAGACGGTGATAACCATGATGACCAAAACACCACGACGAATGAATGCAGCTTTGTGTAATTCAGAATCGCTGTGGATCCAGTACATAGTGTGCAGCGCGAGCCACAGGTATTGTTTATCTGAGTTCATGCAAATGCGAGCCGACATGCCAATGCTAGTTGAAGAAGAACCTGCTAGGGAGAAATGGAGTGTCGAAGTGAAAACTTGATGCACATCGAGATATCAAGAACCGCCCGCCACCGAAACCCCCAAGCCCCCGGTCAGATTATGATGAATCTTTCACCTGGAATTGATTCTTCTTTGTGCTGCTAGTCCCATTGCGACCCTGCGCCTCAGCTTGCACCATAAATCCTACTCGCAAAAGCGAATGCAAATATGTAAGTCCAATAAAATGCTCTGGAGAATGTCCTCGTCACTAAGAAAAGTCGTCATAAAACCCCCCTCTTACCAAACAAAACACCTTTGACCCGAATGCTACCGTCCATGTGAAAAACAAATGAGAGTTTTTTTTGTCATTTCCCAGATCTATCTTGAAATTGCCCTTCAACACCAATGATATGCCTTTCTCGCCAATCCCTCGTGCTCCCGAGGCTCTGCTCAAAGGGAGTACTTCGAGTGGACGACTGATATGAAACGCCCTCGAAAAAATGCAAAACCAGATCGTAAAAATTCGCTTATGGCCGTACTACGCCGCCTCCCTTTTGAGAGCATGTGATCCGATGAGGGTATTCGCTGTAGATTCAAACCAAAAATGGGAAATCATCGAGACTGGGGATGTTAACTCAAATAAAAGATGTACAAGTACAATATGATTCAAAGCCGGTTCCGCTTAGAGAGGCGTGCTTGGATCAAATGAAATGTGGTTGTGAATCACCGTCGACGCTCTTTTCAAAGCTCGATTTCGTGCTGTTAGCAGTTGATCTGTTAAACACATTTCGACCAATATGCTTTAACTTGCCGACAGCGGCCTCGCCGCCGTTGTTCTCGCCTGCTTTTGACACGTATACGCTGGTCGTAGGGTCAACTTTGATATGGCAGAACAGGGTCGAGAAGAGGTATTGGTCCCCGTTAGAATCTAGCAACGGCAAGGTTCGATAACCCTGTTTGAGGCTGTCAAGTTTTGCCGTGTAAGTTGCAATAAGGGCACTGCGACCGGACGTGTACTCGCCGTCAGTGGAAAGCCTGACGCTGAATCTGACAAAGAGCAACTCGGGGTGCTTAGTCGTGACGTTAAAATGAGCCTTGTGGTTAAAGACGGGATTGAACCCGTTTTCTTTAACAATGGATGTGGTCGACTTGAGTGGAGTGTCGGTAAGTATGGGTATGCCCGCCATGCTATCGTGCTTGTCTCGCTTATCGTTGGTGTGAAATATTTCGATCTCGACGTATGGATCGAGAGTGCGGCTAGAACCCAGGCTAGAAGGACGAATGAGTTGTTGCGCCGAAATTATATCGATGTCAAAGGACATGTTTTGGCGTTCCAATTTTCCAATGGCTTCTAGAGGGAGACCGTCGGGGAGTATGCGTATCTCGCGCATCGACGCGGGCTTCAAGACATACCCGGACTGATCAGTGCCGCCGTCAAACATGGCTTGATTCAACTGCATGCCAAGGTCAAAGGTCTGCCAGTTGAGCGCAGCCATCTGCACGCCCCTCCGCCAGTACATCAAAGGGTTGAAGTTGTCAGAAGATAAGCGGGAGTATTGGGGATATACACGCATCATATAGCGCATATTGTGGCGGGCCAGGGCCAACTTAGAATCCGAAGCTTTGGAGTGCTTCCTAAATGTGCCTTCCATAAAGGACAAGATATGGTTGCTCTTCTTGCATTCCGCCGATTCAAAGCCGTTGAACTTGACGCCACTACAGTAGACACCGAGCTCGCCTAAACTCTTGACAATCTTGCTCGTCTTCTTCTTGCCATGCTTCTCCTCATCGCTGTCGCATTCGCTCGTGCTGCTACTAACCGTGTCATGCACCTCACCCTCGTTAATGGTGTCTACACGCTTTGCTGCCACACCACGCCGGGGTTGACCGGTAGGGACTAGGAGCGGGCTTGATAAGAATTGAGCTGGAATAGATGTATTGTCAGAGGGCACCGGCTTCGAAAAAGGGGAGGTCAGGCTGTTTCCGCGTCGACGACCTGTAGCCTCACCGCCGTTACGCGTGGCGCTTCGGTGCGTCCCTTTCACCTTAATCAAGATCCTTTCCTTTAGTTCCGTGGGCGATGGGAGCGTATTCGAGGATGGGTCTAAGGGTTCGGTGATAAGGCGAGAACCAAATATCTCCTTCATAATGTCGGCCATAACCTCTTGCTGTGGTGCATTGCAGTGAACTTCGAGCGACACCCAGAGTGGGAAGTGGCTTGCAGCAAAGGCGTACTTATTAACAGTGTTGATCACCTCTCGGAATGAAATGGCGTTCGTCATGGCATATCCGTGCTTGACTATCGGCTGACCATCAGATCCATCCCAGCAATCGATCTCGACGCTACGGCAACCACGGACAAGAGTCGAAATATAACCCTCGATGGAGGCGACGTCTGCGATTTGACGGCCGACTAGATAGGTGTTATGAGAACTGGAGATGAAATACTCATTGAAGGGTCGATCGAGAGAGTACTCGGACGGCGGGCGCACAAGTGGGAAGTTATCTTTTGATGTTAAATAGGCCGCAAAAGCTTGCTCGTTCATCGTAGCTGAGTCCTTGTCGAGGCGCTGAAACGATGCCGTCTCTGCCCTAGATCCGCCAGCTCGGCGAGCCCAACGAAGGAACTTATTCTCCCAGAAGTTGGGATTACTATCGACGTCTTCGCATTGTTCGTCCCGTACGAACCGCATAAACTCCGCGAAGGTGATTCCCCGCTCTGCATCTGAAGCCAGCTTGAGATACAGCAGTCGAATGTCTTCTCTTCGTTTCATCTCGCGGACGAATACCTGGAATTCGGAAAAGTTTAGTCGGCCAGACCTGGTGGTGTCAGCAACGGCGAACTTGGCACGGAGATCCCTCTGGGCCATGTGGATGTGAAGATTTCTGCAAACGCGTTCAACACCAGGGAAGTCCATCTCCTCTTGAGCGGGCGAGTGGTGTTTGTTCTCAAATTGCTTCGTCATCTCACCATTCCAATATCCACGGATAGCGCTGTCATTAAACGCCATCAACGAGGCCATATGTACCTCTCGGTGCTTCGATATTAAGTCCAGAGCATTAACCCAGTGCGCGAACGTCTCCTCGTCTTCGGCGATTAAGTGCATCGTCTTGCTCCTGGACTTGTCAGGAACTGCGTAGAAGATAGTAAAGAAGCGACCCTCATCGGATTCTGGGACGCCATAGTCAATCCGATACTGCCGGATGTCGGAACCTATCCTGACCTCCTTGATGTCATCGATATAGATACACTTGGTAGAACGGCCTTTCTCCCAAATTACCTTACCGGCGGCTGCCTCGAGAATGAAGAGCAACCGCTTCGACTTTTTCTTCTTAGATATCTTGTTAAGATAAGTCCCTTTCACTAACGCCATGGGTACAACGGGCCCGGTAGGAACATCTGTAAACGATGCAGAACCTGCTAGTGATGGAGCAGCGCTTCCCGAAGAGAAATCGCGTACCATACTCTCTGCGCCATAGATAGAGCCGAGCTCGTTCATCTCGTCGTGAAACTCGTCGTCGGAATCCGTCAGCAGGACAGACTCCGCCGCAGGGGCCGTGTTGGTGCTGTCACTCCTGCGTCGGAGAATTCCGGGACCTATACTCCCTTCCCGTCTCGTAGGTGCCGCCGCCGACTGACGTCGAGTCCTGGCAAATTTACTTGCACGGTTGGAGAGACGTCTTATTAAACCCTTGCCAGAAGAATGGCTACTGTTCAGGGCTTCTGCCATGGAGCTACCAGTTGTCGCTGCAATGCTGGCGTTGGCCGAGCTGTTGCCGCTGGACTTGCAAGTGAGGAGAGGATCGCCAAGGTGGAAGGGCGGCGGAGGGGGGAATTGCTCGACATCAGGGCCTTGGCTACGGTAAGGTTCCGGCGAAGGTTGGATAGAACTGTTGGTGTTGGTTAACACCGCATGGTCTGGGGACATGATAGGAGAATCATGTTGGGAAGAACCAGACGCCGCCGTCGAGGCACTGATGGCTGAGGTGGGCATCGAGCTAGGTTGCGTGCTAGGTGGGTGGCTAGTCTGAACTTGAGTTGGGCGTGGCCGCCGCAACAGAGAACCCTGAGCGGCCATGATCGGCGTACTAGAACAAGATACCCGGGAGTCGATGCTGGGACGTAAAGGTTCGTTATTGTTGGGGGTTGCAGTCATGATATAGGTTTCGAGGGGGGCCGGAAGCCAGCCCACGCGTGAATAGTTGGTAGTACGTGTAGTACAAGAAATATATGAGACAGCGTCTATATGAGGAGGGCTGAACTTGTGGGCCTCATTTTTCCGGATATGTTTTTCATAGAGGCACCTCCCAAGAAAAGGGGAATTGGGGGGAGTGAATGTAAGTAGATAGGGTAGGTAAGCGAGTACGTATGGATGTATGTATGTAGGTAATGTATGTAGGTAGGTTTGGACGTGAAGTAGATGTGTAGTGAATGTACACACCGGGGAAGGCTACTTATTAAAATCGAAGCCAAGTTCGAGGCTGCAGGAATACTCGGCGCCTTCCCACGACGTATGTAGATGTCGATTGCGGTCCGGAACGCAAGGGTGCGGCCGAGCAGTAACCAGCAGAAAGTAGCAGTGGTATATATTCAAGTACAGGCCTGTCACTGGTACGGCCCTCTGACAGAGGTACGTCGAGGTACGGGCACGGCCAGCTGCCCTCTGCGCGCGTGCTGTGCGTCTGCGTTGCCCTAGGTGGTAGACCAGGACTTAAACAGGGCGGGTATGGGGGACTGATGTTGCAATAGCTCACGGTAAAAATGGTGAGGTGGCAGGCCAGAATGCAGGTCGCTGATTTGGGTATTTCTAAGTTGGGGGAGATGGGTATTTTCCTAAGCGTCAGATTTCCAAGTGAGATAGTCCTCTAAGAGGAGACGAGGAGGATTGATATTGCTCTGCTGCAGCCCCCTGCAAGTATACACTCACTCGTCTCTAATTCTCCTCTGCCTTTTAGCTTGCGATTGACTTGAAAGAAGGCTCTAACAGAGAGATATATATACTTTTTATATATCTCGTACGATGAATCCGGCCTCTTGACTTCCAGATCCCCACGTTTGGGCTGTCTGTCGGGCACGTCCAGAAATAAAAAAAATTATGCGCCGCCGCTTCGTTCCTTGTGAGTTAAGGTGGACCCTCCTGCGGTGTGGTGATGACTCCCTCTCTCTTCTTAGTAATTTTTTTGCTTGCCGGTTGTACAACAGAATTGGCCAAAAGTGTGCGTGATGACGTCCAGTGAGGCTCAGCAGCTAAGAAGAAATTGTAAAAGGAGAAAGGCCGGCAGGGTAAACTTATGAGTTGTTACGGTGCAGCGTACAGCGAAGCGAAGATCCTTGTGCGACGTTAATGGAATGTACAAAAAAAAAATCTGTATCTGACAGCGTAGGCGTCAAGGTATTGCTTAAGGTAGGTATTTGTTTTCTAGGTATTGCGGAATGGGGCTGGCCGGAAACCGGGTCTTAACAAATATTCAACGTAGGAAGAATAAGGAGAAGAAGAAAAAAAAGATACAATAAATAAATAGTTAAGTAATAACGTCAAACTATATTTTTTTTTTCCTTCCACGAATTTGATGAGGTGTACAGCTCTGCTTGCCCTTCTTCAGGTGGAGGAAAATGGGGTCGGGAAATTATTAAGTGACGGAGCGGAAAAGGAAGGGATTAAAGCATGGCAAAGGCAGGGAAGGAGTCAGGAAGAGGAAAAGAAGAGATAGTTTAGCAGACGGTCCCCTAAAATAATGGGTACGTACTTGCCCTATTCCAGTTCCCACCTCCAGAATACTAGGTAGAATACTAGATTATAGGTACATCTATACCCGTAGGCTGTTGTGTTGTGTCAACGGTGTACCTAACCTAACCTGCTAACTTACCTTGTCGGTAGGTACTATAATCTAATAAGCTTTAGAGGAAGGGGGGGCTAGTGTGAATTATAATATTCATCAATGTAATAGACCTCTGTTTTCTCATATCAGAACCTAACCTTAAGTAGATTTCCCAAGGGATCAATTAGGTTGGCGTTATGGTATCGTAATTCTGGGTCTGGGTACGAAGTACGGAATACATACAGTAAGATACTGAAGCCCGTCCTTGTTGGTTCAAGCAGCACGTTCAATTTTGGACCGAACTGGACGTGCATGTACCATGTACGTATGTACATATGTACATACATACACATACGTATGTATGTGCATGTGCGTTGTACCGTGTCCACAATAATTCAATCAATGGCAACATTGAACACACATTGATGGGAGAGAGAGAGCAGTCGGCTTTGTAAATGTGGATACTTAAGTTACCATTATCATTGTTCTTCCACTGTTTGGTACTGGGCTGAAAAGTATCCTTGTACCTACATATGTACATACATGTATGTACCATATGTATGTGCCATATGTATGTATGTATGTATGTAATGTACCACATTTTATGGACTCATGGGGGAGCGGGAGCTTGATGCTAAAGGATTACACCCGAGGTATTGCATTAATGATGATGATGGCTTATTTTATTTCTTTTCTTTTCGTGTTCTTCTTCTATGTAAGTCGCTTACACGAACATATTGTCATATCTCGACGTTACCGCAGGGGGATCTCCTCAGGCACACGAATGAAGATGGCACAATCGCACGGGTATGTTATGAACTTCTTAACTAATAAAGCCGTCCAGGGGAAAAGCCGCTCATTGCGTGATTTGGTTTGCACTACCTACCTTACAACAACCTTACAACCTTACTTTACATGTACGTGTATGTATGTACTTGAGAACAAAGTCAGGTGGCCTCCCGCTTGTCGTCTCGAACAAGAAGCTAGGCGCTTTGCCGGCTCTTTGTCAACTCAAACTTTAATGACAAAAGACGAGGGACAATAATGGCCGAGCCAACGGGAATCGAAAGCTCGAGTACACTGTCCATGTATCAAAAAAGCTTAAGTGCTACCTGTATGTCTGAGACAAGAGTCTTCCCCAACCAACTTCGACTTGCATCCACCTGGTTTGGTTTTTGGGTAGGCTGTGATATCAACAAGAAAGAGGCAAGATGCTTCCTAAAGGATGGCCGGCCATAACCCTATTGTGATGGGCACTTGGGTTAGTGATTTACAAAACTGAAACAAACATACTCGCTGTGGATTCTCTCAGGTGTGAGGGAGCGAATGCCAATATTTTTTCTGATTATCGTCGGTGGACACCTAAAAAAGGAGACATGTCCAATCTAACTGACAAGCCAGGAAAAAAATCGACGGAGCGCATTCGTCGTCGGTAAGTCAACGGCTTAAAGGCGAAAAGAATAGACATGGGCGCTACGCCGAAATGGGCAATAAAAAGTCCAGCTCGACTAGGACAGCTACAGCTAGGCTGCTAGGGTCAGGGCAGGGCCGCCCAAGACAAGGCGCCAGAATAGGTAGGGCAAGGTAGGGCAAAGGAACTAAGGTGGGTGCTGAGCCAGGTGGCAGATGTAGTGGTCCCATAACTACATCATCGACCATCTAAGCCTGATCCGCACTCGGCTTCCCCAAGATGAGAAAAAAAATGTAGCGACAGCTTACAGGCATGCTTCTGACAGGGGTCCGGGGGTGTACCAAAGACCTGGGTGGAAGGGAAGGAAGAAGAAAAGAACAAAATAAAATAAAATAAAACCCGAAAATAAAATCAAGTACATAGGTAGCTAGGTACATATGAAAAGGCTATCCGCAATGCTTTAAGCGCTTCAGCTCAATCTAGTACCTAATCTTTACCAATGCCCCGTCTCCTTATTTTACTTTATTATGCATATATATTGTTGTTATTAACACATGGATAGACATTGTTCTTTTTTGTTTGCGATCGAATCCGGTACGTTACGTTACGTTAATGTTTTGTTTCACTCCAGCTTGGCCTGGAAATGACTTCATTTCGACCTATTATGTGTAACTTACAAACGGGTAAAGGGGAGAAAGGGAGAAAGAAAGGAAAAGTAAAAAAAAAAAAAAAAAAAAAAAATACAAAAGTGACATCGTGGGTGTCAGGGGTCATGCACAACAAGGTCCCCCATCAACCTTATTACTCTCTTAAGATTTTCAACTTTTCCTAAAAGAACGAAACGCAAAGTAGTAAACCGTTCAAGGTTGCTTTTTCGGCAGTCGGAATGTCAACCTAAAGCCAGTAAATTAAAACCTTGGGGGCGGCAATGCTGCAAGACATACGATGATGCGCGCCCGCTACCAGCTCTAACCAAGAAGAAACCCACTCAAATCAAGATATCTAGATATATAATCGTGGGGGTTTTGCTGTTCTTTACTGTTCGCGTTTCGAAGGAATATGTACATACATTGCCTCCCGCTCCTTTTTGCTTCTGACAAAATTCTCCGTGGCCCTCGCTGGAAACTAAACTTTGCGGATCGTGTCCGATGGATAATTTCGCGGTCAGCAGAGAGCGTGCATCTCTTGGCAGACCATCTTCGAATCTATTACTAGTGTATACGGCTTCTTGTCGCCATCCTCTCCTGATAATAATAAAACGTTGCCTACGCTACGCAGCCAGTAAAAGCGCTTAGAAGCCCAGAAACCAGACGCAACCTACCATTACACGCCCGACCTTGCATGGCCCCATGCCGCAGCCCCCGTAGTTGTAGATCTTGCTGTCTCGTATGACGGCGGTGCTGAACCAAAAAACCCAACTGTAAGACGAGTCGCGGCTCTGTGTGTTTCTTCAGTACTCTTCATATCACCTTGCCCAACGACACCGAGGCGGTCAAGTTAGTCGTGATACATGTATCTCTCTTGACACATTCTGACCGAAGTTCACATTCTTGGTAGAGCGTCTGGTCCAATTGCTCCATGGTCTAATCTAAATTTTCAGAACCCACGATGGCTCACCGCCTCTACACACGCACAGTAGGACTCATTCATAAGTTTAATGATGACGATAACGACATCTGCATTGATACTACTACAGGATTACCCTCGATATATTAAAAATACCACTATTGCAAGGACATTCCCACTTGGGAAATGCTTTAGAATATTCTAGTCCCCCTTATCCTTATCCCTCACCGTCTTGGTCCGTTGCCCTAGCCTGCCAGCCTGCCTTGTCTGCCCCAAGTTTCGACGGCGAATTTTAGGCGCCGGTGGGGAAGCGAACTCGCCTTGTTACCACTAGTTATTACTAAAAGAAGAAAGAAGAGCGTCTGGCATCGCGGATATGGTGCCGAAGCTGAAAAGGAAAAGGAAAAGGAAAAGAAAAAGAAGAAAAAAATAATAAGGAACCAAAGAATTACGTCAAAATTCCTAAGTGCGATCATCAGGTCCTGCAATCAGCTCATCTCCTCCCTCTCCATAGCGAACAAAACTTCCACTCGTCTTCACTTCGCTCATCATCATTTGGTAACGGTGTGCGACTTCATACGTCAAGATAATCTTCCCCAGATCCAGGAAGACCTAGCGTGTTAGGCGGTTTCATACCTAAATTGGTTGGATTTGGTTGGTGATGGTTCTATCTTACTGGCGATGGTGGAGGGACCGGCGACGACGATCCGATGTATGTACAAATGCCCACGCCTGGTACATGGGTACACGAGTACCGCTTCTGTTGTAACAAAACGCCGAAACTGTCTTCGAGAAGGTAGATCTCTCTTCTGCTGCAGCCCTGCTCAGGGAACCCTGTTGGATGCGTGCTCAACTCCACATCATCATGTTGTAATTAGCGTCAGGGGGGTTCCTAGGCATTAGCCAATCGTAATCTTGTCGCTCGACATCGATCCATTGACTTGCGCAACACCGTATTTTCGTATCGTATTTGTCCGTAGGGAGGAGAATACGCACCGTCGCACCCTATGGCTCCAATGGTCTTAATGGTCGCAGTAATGCAGCAGCATGGGACCTCAGCAAGCAGTCCAGCACAGAGCACAGACACAGCCACTTACATAAAGCTGTAAAAATGAGAAGAACCATTTTTAGCATACCCGTAAGGCGGGGAGCAGCTGGTTGGCTTATTCCCATGCAAGAACTTATTTAGGTAGTCAGTCCAGTTACAGTAGCCTGTAGGAGAACATACATGCATATTACACATTACCATATTACCATACTGCACATATACTGCACATACATGCTTCGTACATTGACTAACTATACTACCTATAGCAGAACATGTAGACCTGTTTGTGGTAATATCTCGGCTACGTTCTTCCATTAGACACTTTTCTGACCCAAATAGGCATCTTAGTCCCGGTGCATTACTATCGGACATCCGAGAGTTTTGATGTAAATCTGGCCGGAAAAAAATAGTTAATAGGTAATAATAGTTAGTTAACTATGTTTTTCTTTCTTTTCTTCAAACGTAACAGCACCAAGTTACGAGCGAGGTCCGTCGGGCTGTCCTTAGCGACGATCGATTTTCAGCTCTTTGAATCGGATTGTTGGCAGATCAACCGTCTTAATCCAATCAACCCCTCGTAATGTGCTGTGCCCTATGTTTCCAGGATAGGGAACGTGAGGAGGAGATTCACCGGCATCTTCGGCACAGACTGTTCCTCACGGTGGAGATTCGCCTTGGGTCAAATCACCCCCCCCAAGCCCGTCAAATCAAGCGAAGCAGACTAGGGTTCCTACGAGCACGATTCTGTCTCTCGATGCGCCGGTGCCTGTCGTCTCGGTCGTTTTCGTCACCTATAGGTAACAAAAGGGTAACAAAGGCGGCCTGAACCCCTCTCCTGGGCTTCGTCGAAACACATGATCATTCCTGCCGCTGTCAAATAGATGGTCGTTGATCTCCCTATCTCCCTGTACAGTCCCTGTAAAGCATCCGCCAAATGCGAGATCGAGAAGGAGCCCCATCTTGATGACGAGACGGGTACATATCATAGGTTCCCGTGTAATCCTTGCTACGACTAATCGACTAATGGGCGAACCCGTTTTGGAATTGATGTAGACGCTGACTGGTGCTGTCGAGGCCGCCGATTGAATACCATTGCCGAGTTGATTGGCTTATCGCCTTTATCCTTCCTACCAATTCGCGTAGAACAAGCCAGGGGCATGTGTCACGAGGACTTTTTCGACCATGCTATTATGTTCTAACGTCTCTTTCATATGCAGGGCGATACTATGATATTGGGGGCATTGGGGCATTGGGGCATTTCTTCCAACTGCGTCTACGCTACGACTTATGTATCAAGGTTTGTAAAGCGTCGAGGTCATGATACGTTAGATTAGGTACGGCATTGCACTTATATAGTAGACGGCGGGCTTTCCCGTACGTAAAGAGCTTGCATTTCATGTAGTACGATGCCAAAGAGGGATGATCGTCTTAGAAAGACTCCTAGAAGGGCTAAGCAGGAGATGGCTGTGATAATAACGGCCACGCATTCCTTCTCCTCCTCTATGTAGACGTCCTACTCCTCTTCACCGGGTTATTACTAACGCGGGGGTGGCCCTTCGGCCTTTTACCCTGGACGCCACCGCAGTACCCAATACAGAGGAAAGAGGATCGTGAGCAAGCAGTGCAGTGTCTCTTCGTCGATCCGGGACTGCGTGTCCAGCCCAGCATCAACCCACGACGCGAGGTAACGTCCCCATGCACGTAAAAATAAGAATTTAATAAAAATAAAAATGAAGAAAAAAGGTCAGCCACCCATGCAAGCCGACTGGCGTAGGGCTTTTTGTACAATTACCTAGGATATCTTTAACTTATACAAGCCTAACCACATTCTGCTCCGAGAATGACGATTCTTTTGCTGCAGCCGGACCCCCTGCACGTCAACCTCGCTAAAAGCGGCTCGCAGAGAATCTCTTAGTACACGATGTAGGTAAATGCAAGTAAATGTATGAGGTAGGCAGTGGGTTTTTTTTGGTATCGACGGAACGCATCCCTTACCCTGGCCCCCGAGATCATGCAACTAACTCTTCGCTCGTCATCAGTTACTACCGTCCATGGCCACGATACCATCCGCGCACTTGTATCGTCGCAGTGATGTAGAATAGTTCCTTTCGGATAGTCCCCGGCGCCGTCGTTGCAAGGCGAGGCTCCAATGTCGTCGCGTGTTTTGGTTTTATGGCGATGGGAAATTTCCCCGGACTCGCATCATACTCGCATCGTGATCCATCATATCTTCAAGTTCGGTTTAAAGACGTCCTCGTTAACCGATGATCTACATCCATTCTTATCTCAACTCTCACATGTAACCTACATGACATGAACGTGGGCATCTGCACGGCGGCGAGCTGACTAAACTCACATGTCGAACTCTTCATAAACATCATGCACATGCCTTTTTCCCACCTAGATAGATTATATCCCTCGAGAGATATTTGTCACGAAATAGCAAATAGCAAATAGCAATAAGCATCGCGTAGTCGACCTCCCACAGCTCCTACTCCTACATTGCGCGGCACGCTACGAGAAAGGCAAAAAGGGAGACCAGACGTGCTTACGGGAGGATTCTGGGTTCTTCGTCGTTACGTGCGGCATCTTGAGATTGCAGCCGCGGCCTGCAGCTGGAAATTGAGGACGTAACCAGCGCCCATTCCAGACCTCGAATGGACTGTGTCCCCTCAATACCACGAAAACGTGCAACGATCAAAAAAAGAAAGAAAGAAAGAAAGAAAAAACCACCAAAAAACCCTCCCTCTTCCCCGCTCCGGCGATACTTGTGTTATGGAGACAACGCCTACACCATGCGCCGATCCAGCTATGTTCTACTCTGAATGTGGGCGTAATTGCATGGTTCATTACGGTGCAGAGCGAAAAACGGCCCGGGCCTACATGCGAGCCAGTTGTCAGGGAGCTGATCTTTTCGCGGCAGTTTTGTAGCTGACTGGCTGGCGAGCCTCGCGATCAGCCCCTCCATATTTCTATTCCTCTATCTCGTCATCACCTTTTTTTCTTTTTATTTCTATAGGTTAAAAAAAGAAGTTGCCTCATGGCTACGTCGATCTTCGGCACACCCTTGTTTCTTCTTGTACGTATTACATTCCACGCCCGTCAATGTAAAAGCCACGAGCCAGACCATCGGAAAGGGTGCTCCAAGGCGGCCTGATCCGCGGTATTTCTTTCTCGATCGGTCGATGAGTGCGACTACGGGGTACGGCGACGGCAACCCCAGACGGGACCCGCGTCGGACCACGGGCCACGTCCCGGGGATCGTCTATCTATAAGAATCGATCACTTCAGCCCCCATCGACCGACACTACTACGATGACTCGCTTGGTAGTTTCCTGATGAGGCAGTCGGCGCGCAATGCGCTGAAACCTGACCGCACCGGAATAGTTAGGCCAGATTAAATAAATACTAAAGCTGGTAGGATGCTACTTTCGAGGTAGTCGAGCAATCGAGTATGTATCTCTTGTCAGACTAATATGGATTGATATTTAGTTCAACTATACTTTTGACCACCTATAGATGACTAGGTACCTAACCTATAGAGGTATATACTTGGCCAACTGCCCATACTCTCTATACGGTCTTTTGCATCTGCCGGGGATGGGGGTTATTGTTTACATACACTACGTGCTTACATTCCACCTATTACTGTAAGTCTCTAAGTCTCTAAGTATCCATGTTCGTGCTAGAGTCGAGCTACAATACGATACAACATTATAACCCTCGACGGACATATTATAAGGTTTTACACACTACCTCACTACCTCACTACGGAAGTATGTCTGGACAAACCTAGCATCGGCCGTCAATAATGCGTCAATGGTATTGCAGCAACGGCGTATCGGAATGCGTTCGGGGCCGGCAGACCCATGCTACCATGCTACCATGCTACCATGGTAAAGACCAATATCAATTATGCTCTGATATTTATGTAGGTATTAAAGATATTAAGGAGAAGAGAGAAAACGAAACCGAGGCTTGTGTGCGTACGCATTTACTTGGAAGTACGAAGTACTATGTAGGTATGTATTAACAGCCACTGCTGGTTCGATAAACCCGCTTGGCGACGATAGGGGATCCCAGTCCCCCTATGGTGGACGGTTAGGACATTTGTGCCAAAATCGAAAAAGTTGGTAGCACTATGTCTAATACAGCAATAGTGACGCTAGGGGTATAGTATAAACTCAACTATTTGCCCTATATACACAATTACCTAAGATAATACATATCCCCTTTTAACCTTATACCACAATAACTTTACGAATATTTATCCAAATATTTTCTAAAAAATATTTCTATTTTAATTAAAAAATAACGAAATTTATAATTTAAGTTACATATAATTTAACTTAAAATTAATAAAGTTATTAAAAAGTTATATAATTATATATATATAATTATACAAGTTTTATTATCCGGACCACTTTTATTACTAATTTTTAAGTTTAACCAATTAAATTAAAAAACTTTATTTAATTATTTTATACATTTATATATATAACATAATACATTTAAATAACTTTTTAAAAACAATAATTTAAACGTTATAATTAATATTATTTTATAACTTTAATTAATGCGAAAATAATAAATTAAACTACATATTTATACAATATATATTAAATATTATATTATTATTAAAATATTTAAAGTTTATTTAAAATAACTTTATTAAAATGTAAAATATTACGTGTTTACTTTTTTAAACAAACGTTATTTGATTTTATTATAACATAATAGTTAAAAAGCCAATTTAAATGTAATTTAAATAATTATTTTCGCATTAATTAAAGCTATAAAATGATATTAATTATAACGTTTAAATTATTATTTTTAAAAAGTTATTTAAATATGTTATATATATAAAATAATTAAAAATTTAAATTAACAATTAAATCTTTTAATTTAATTGGTCGAATTATGCTTATTTAATATATTTTACTTTATATATACCCTGCATAGTATACTATGCACCTGCTA